CATGTATGTGTGTGTGTGTAGTTGAATTAAAAACATGTATGTGTGTGTGTGTGTGTGTGTGTAGTTGAATTAAAAACATGTGTGTGTGTGTGTGTGTGTGTGTGTGTAGTTGAATTAAAAACATGTATGTGTGTGTGTGTGTGTGTGTGTTAGTTGAATTAAAAACATGTATGTGTGTGTGGTGTGTGTGTGTGTGTGTGTGTGTGTGTAGTTAAATTAAAAATATGTATGTGTGTGTGTGTGTAGTTGAATTAAAAACATGTATGTGTGTGTGTGTGTGTGTGTGTGTGCGTGTAGTTGAATTAAAAACATGTATGTGTGTGTGTGTGTGTGTGTGTGTGTGTGTGTGTGTGTGTAGTTGAATTAAAAACATGTATGTGTGTGTGTCATGTTTCATGTTCTGGGGTTTTCCCGCGCTTTGTCGCCCTCTGGTGGGCCGCGCTCTAGGCGGATGAAGAAGCAGTGGGATTTAAAATGGCGCCTGGAGAAATAAACAGAGGCTGGTATCGAGCTGAATTCACCGTAAACGGCGGGAAACACGACCGTGGGGAGTGTGACAGGTAAACACACACACACAAACACATTTTCTCCGGTAATGACTTTTAACGGTCCCGGTTCGATCCGTTTACAAAGCGCCCTGCGTGACCATCGAAACAGACACGACGTTAACGACCATGGCGGCTCAGCCTGTGGAAACAGACCCGGTGTCCGTTTATCAACACATCTGAATGATTATTAATGACCCGTATGTGACCCACACAACCTCAGGTAGATCACCTGTAGACCACACCACCAGGGGCTGGATTGTTTTTACGTGGTCTCTGTTAATCCTCCTGCAACGCTGATGTAAATATCTGCAGGAATACCCACTAAATACTGTAAAAATACACAAATACATTAATAAATACCCACTAAATACGGTATACATACTGTAAATATACACAATAAATACCTGCTAAATACAGTATCCCACATACTGTAAATATACACAAATACTGTAATAAATACCTGCTAAATACAGTATCCCACATACTGTAAATATACACAAATACTGTAATAAATACCCGCTGAATACAGTATCCCACATACTGTAAATATACACAATAAATACTGTAATAAATACCCACTAAATACAGTATCCCACATACTGTAAATATACACAAATACTGTAATAAATACCCACTGAATACAGTATCCCACATACTGTAAATATACACAATAAATACTGTAATAAATACCCACTAAATACAGTATCCCACATACTGTAAATATACACAAATACTGTAATAAATACCCACTAAATACAGTATCCCACATACTGTAAATATACACAAATACTGTAATAAATACCTGCAAAATACAGTATCCCACATACTGTAAATATACACAAATACTGTAATAAATACCCACTAAATACAGTATCCCACATACTGTAAATATACACAATAAATACCCACTAAATACAGTATCCCACATACTGTAAATATACACAAATACTGTAATAAATACCCACTAAATACAGTATCCCACATACTGTAAATATACACAAATACTGTAATAAATACCCGCTAAATACAGTATCCCACATACTGTAAATATACACTAAATACTGTAATAAATACCCACTAAATACAGTATCCCACATACTGTAAATATACACAAATACTGTAATAAATACCTGCTAAATACAGTATCCCACATACTGTAAATATACACAAATACTGTAATAAATACCCACTAAATACAGTATCCCACATACTGTAAATATACACAATAAATACCCACTAAATACAGTATCCCACATACTGTAAATATACACAAATACTGTAATAAATACCCGCTAAATACAGTATCCCACATACTGTAAATATACACAAATACTGTAATAAATACCCACTAAATACAGTATCCCACATACTGTAAATATACACAATAAATACCCACTAAATACAGTATCCCACATACTGTAAATATACACTAAATACTGTAATAAATACCCGCTAAATACAGTATCCCACATACTGTAAATATACACAAATACTGTAATAAATACCTGCTAAATACAGTATCCCACATACTGTAAATATACACAAATACTGTAATAAATACCCAATACTATAGCCACTTCATACTGTATACTTATCCTGTAAAAAGTCACAATAAATGCTGTAACATCACACTTAATCACTATTTTCAAAATGAAGTAAATTAAATGTTTAAATGTTTGTTTTTACTGCTGAAGACATTTTTTAGTTGATATTAAACAAATTATGTAATAAAATCATGAATGTTTATAAAATGAAAGTTGGGGGAATCACTGCCTCCATGACGTCATCACAGATGGACATTGATATAGCTTAGCCACAATATGATCCTCTGATGTTTAAGTGATGTTAGCTAAGCTTAGCCACATTATGATCACAGATGTGATCTTATTTCAGCCCTGCTGTTGACCATGTGATGTTGAAACAGGAGTTTCAGGTGGGGGTCGTTTTAATCTGAACACCTGTGGATTATAATCTGTCTCTGACAGGAAGTCATCATGCTGTGAGGTCGTGACCTCGCCTGCTCTGTGACCAGTAGATGGCTGCCGAACTCTTCCCCACCAGCCTCCCTCAAGGTAACGAGGTGGAGGTGAAGAAGACTTTGATACAGACGAGCCAATCAGAGCCGCCGGGTGGTTACCATGCCGACTCGGAAGGAGACGAAATTCAAGCGAACGTCCTCACAGAGGGAGAGGAGAAAGAGGGCAGACAGGAAACACAGCCCACGCTCAGGGAGAGGTCAGTGATTGGACAGCAGCCCAGTGGTGCTCTGCTCTGATTGGACAGCAGCTCAGTGGTGCTCTGCTCTGATTGGACAGCAGCCCAGTGGTGCTCTGCTCTGATTGGACAGCAGCTCAGTGGTGCTCTGCTCTGATTGGACAGCAGCTCAGTGATTAATGATAGGTTTATATCCATGTCTCTGTTGTTGTTTATGTGTTTTATCGTTGATTTCGATTTTTTTTTTTTACAGAAACGCTCTGATGTTCAACAACGAGCACATGGCTGATGTTCATTTCATCGTCGGACCTCCAGGAGAAACCCAGAGAGTCCCTGCTCATAAGGTACACTGTAAATCTGGACTCACAGACTACAAGTGTCCGCACCCCAAAAACCCTGGAAACGCCCAAAATAATTCTGATTACTTATGTACATAAGTTACTTAAGGAGAACGGTCCTAACATCTGATTGGTCTAGACCTCAGCCTGATTCCGGCCTCTGATTGGTCCCTGTGTCTGTGTTGCAGTACGTCCTGGCGGTGGGCAGCTCTGTCTTTGGAGCCATGTTTTATGGGGATTTGGCTGAGGGTCAATCTGAGATCCAGATCCCTGACGTGGAGCCGGCTGCTTTCCTCATCCTGTTAAAGTGAGTAAGAGCTCCACGACATTCAGAACCAGAACCGTCTCACATGTGCTGACCCCGCTCGTCTATTTCAGGTACATGTACAGTGATGAGATCCAGATGGAGGCGGACACGGTGCTCGCCACGCTCTATGCCGCTAAGAAGTACATCGTTCCTGCTCTGGCGAAGGCCTGCGTGTCATTCCTAGAGACGAGTCTGGAGGCGAGGAACGCCTGCGTGCTGCTGTCTCAGAGCCGGCTGTTCGAGGAGCCGGACTTGACGCAGCGCTGCTGGGAGGTGATCGACGCCCAGGCCAACCTCGCTCTGCGGTCCGAGGGTTTCTGTGAGATCGACTGGCCCACGCTGGAGATCATCCTGCAGAGAGACTCGCTCAACATCCGAGAAGTCGCCATCTTTCAGGCCATGCTCAGCTGGGCGTCCGCTGAGTGTCGGCGTCAGGGTCTGGCGGTGACCCCCAGGAACCAGCGGGTGGTTCTGGGTAAGGCTCTGTACCTGGTCCGGATCCCCTCCATGACGCTGCAGGAGTTTGCAGACGGGGCGGCGCAATCGGACGTCCTGACGCTGGAGGAGACTCGTGATGTCTTCCTGTGGTTCACCGCCTCCAACAAACCAACACTGGAGTTCCCTCTGGGGAAGCGGACCGGCCTGTTGCCGCAGAGGTGTCACCGCTTCCAGTCCTCTGCCTACCGGAGCAACCAGTGGCGTTACAGGGGTCGCTGCGACAGCATCCAGTTCGCAGTGGACCGACGGATATTTCTGGCCGGACTGGGGCTGTACGGGTCCAGTGGCGGGAAGGCCGAGTACAGCGTGACCATCGAGCTGAAGAGGCAGGGAACGGTCCTCGCCCAGAATCTCACAAAGTTCCTGTCAGACGGGTCCAGCAGCACCTTCTCCGTGTGGTTCGAACATCCGGTCCAGGTGGAGCAGGACACCTTTTACACGGTCAGTGCCGTCCTGGACGGGAACGAGCTGAGTTACTTTGGTCAGGAGGGGATGACCGAGGTGCAGTGTGGGAAAGTGACCTTCCAGTTCCAGTGTTCCTCGGACAGTACCAACGGGACCGGGGTGCAGGGGGGGCAGATCCCTGAGGTGGTCTTTTACTGCTGAACCAGAACCAGGACTCTGACCAATCAAAGAACAAACAACCAACGAGCTCTGATGGGACTGCTGCCCTGAACTCGAAGCTGATTGGCTGTTGTAGAAGAGCTGGAAGCTGATTTGTTTCTGTGTTTGAACATTAAAGTTGAAGTGACGGACAGTGAAAACGTGTTGCTGCTTCTTTAATATAAAAATAATAAAATATTTTCAGTTGTAGTTTCCTACAGCTGCCACTCGGTGTTACTAAGGAACACACTTAACGACGACTTCCGGTATTGAAAAATGAACCCCAGCGGAAATCTGCAATTCATTGAGTGTCCACTAGAGTCTGTCTCCTGCAGTGAGTCAGTCCCCATAGAGCTCCACGTTAAAATGTCTAACTTTACAGCTGCAGTTCCTCCAGTGTCCACTAGAGTCTGTCTCCTGCAGTGAGTCAGTCCCCATACAGCCCTATGTTAAAATGTTTAACTTTACAGATGCAGTTCCTCCACTGTCCACTAGAGTCTGTCTCCTGCAGTGAGTCAGTCCTCATAGAGCTCCATGTTAAAATGTCTAACTTTACAGATGCAGTTCCTCCACTGTCCACTAGAGTCTCTTTACAGCCTGGTACAAAATGCTCAATCTCTTTGCCAGCTTCTAAGCCATCGATGGGAGTTACTGAGACTACGCCCTTATTATATACAGTCTGAAGGTATTAAAACTTTAACTTTAAGATGACTGTGGCTCACGGGAAATAAAGTTCCATAAATGCACATTTTGAGTCCTTCAGATAAACTCTTTAAAAACAAAAAGGTAATTCATGTTCAGTGAGATTTTCGATTGTCACATGATCACCTCAGAGCGGACAACAGACGTTCACTCTGTTTATTATGAGGACTGTGAATGTTTGTTTCCATGGTTACATATCACACGGGTAAACTTATCTGAAAACACAGTTTAAATAAAGTTATGAGTGAAAAAATAAATTTTAAGTTCTCACCGATTGCTGGAGCGTTGATGCAAAGTTCACGAGCCAACAGAAGAAACGTTTTACCCAGAATGTAAACGTTCACCTGAAAACAGGAAGTACAGTTACAGACACACCACTGACAGACTGATGACTGACAAACAAACTACACACAGACAAACAGATGGACTACAGCTGTCTGTAGGCCTGAGGTCAGTTGTACCTGCAGCAGGTCACTCAGGTCCAGTAACATGTCTGAAACATGCTGATTAAGGAGGTGAAAGGTCACAGAGTCGTCTAAAATTTTAGGTACAGTCACACACACAGCATCTCAGTGTTTCAACATGTTGCTGGTTGCTAGGATACGTGGAGTCCCCTCAGTGCGACACACTAGGTACAGGCACGCGGCGATGACGTGCTCCGTCTTGCGTCCCCTGGTCAGGTGCTTACTGACGACCATCTTGAAGAAATTGAAGGCGGTGTCCAAACAGTGCTGGTTCAGCTGCAGCTGACTGCCCAGCTGCTGGATCTGACGCTTACCTGAGACACACGAAGGGTTAATCATACCTGAAAATATCACTTTGGCAATGGCTGCTGGTGGCAATGAGTCAGCATGTTTTAAAGTTTGTCTCCACAGAGTTTAGGAAACATGTCTGTAAGTAAGACTGTGCTGGTTGAGTATGTTATATAGCTATGCTAATTCTGTTAGCCAGTAAATGGCAAATTCCAGTATGTGTTAGCATCAAGCTAACTCAGATGTACATCTTGGTCCCTCTGTTAAACATTGTGCACCAGCCGACTGTAACATGATTATAGCTGAGACAGACAGATAGAGGTACTCACCACCCTGCAGAGTCTGAGCTCTGGACTCCTTTCCAACACTCGTGTGAAAACCAGACCCAAGAAGAGGAGCTTTAACTGGACCTACACACACACACACACACACACACACACACACACACACACACACACACACACACACACACACACACACACACACACACACACACACACACACACACACACACACACACACACACACACACACGGGTAGTGGTTACATGGAGTTCTTCGGACCTGCTGCTGTAATCACACTCAATCACAATCAGCTGTTACTGCCTCCTCTGTTACCATGACAACCAGGTGATTAGCTCACCTGGTTGTAGATGGGTTCTTCTTCCACAGAGAGAGAATCAACATGAAAACTGCTGCTCTCGTCATACGGTGAGTCATCTTATCTCACCAGGACAGGTACTCAACAGGTAACACACCTGAACAGGTAACACACAGCTCACCTGGACAGGTTACACACCGCTCACCTGAACAGGTCACACACAGCTCACCTGAACAGGTAACACACAGGTAACACACAGCTCACGTGAACAGGTAACACACAGGTAACACACAGCTCACCTAAACAGGTAACGCACAGCTCACCTGGACAGGTTACACACAGTTCACCTGAACAGGTTACACACCGCTCACCTGAACAGGTTACACACAGTTCACCTGAACAGGTAACACACAGCTCACCTGAACAGGTAACACACAGCTCACCTGAACAGGTAACACACAGCTCACCTGAACAGGTAAAAATGTAATCTGTGTTCTGCTGCAGACTGCTGTTAATCTGCTGTGGCTTCATAAAAGGAACACCTGGAGATCACCTGGAAGGTAAACTGTTTTCTGATCACGTTTGTTTTTATGTCTTTGAGTGTCATCTGACGGTTTCAGAGACTAAACTGAGAATATGATTTGTCACCTGGTGACCTCTGACCTGACCTGTTAGGTTGTTTATGTTGTCAGGTTCTGCAGAGTCTGTGGTTCAGTCAGAGTGTCGGGATCGTTACCTGTGGATCCACGTCACGTCCACACAGACGCCACGCTTCGAGGCTGTCGGTCAGTTCTTCTAGTACACACCTGAAGCCTACAACACACTGTCTACCTGCTCACCTGTTTACCTGACAAACAAAGACAAGCTGGGTGTCAAAGCACGACACATACAATCGTACTTATCATGCTGCTCATCTTGTTATATTTCTTAACATGAACAGATGAAAATGGCGTCCACTCCATTAGCGAGCAGCTGGCCTCACTCTGTGGTTACACTATCAGCAGTTTCAAGAAAGACAACGCCACCGTCTTCAGAGCCTCGTACTTCTCCTGCTTCACCCACAACCAGGTAGCCCCTCCCCTCTCTCTACCTCTAACCAAGTAGCTCCTCCCCTATTTCCACCTCTAGCCAGGTAGCCCCTCCCTTATTTCCACATCCAGCCAGGTAGCCCCTCCCCTCTCTCTACCTCTAACCAAGTAGCTCCTCCCCATTTCCACCTCTAGCCAGGTAGCCCCTCCCTTATTTCCACATCCAGCCAGGTAGCCCCTCCCCTCTCTCGACCTCTAACCAAGTAGCCCTCCCTATTTCCACCTCTAGCCAGGTAGCCCCTCCCTTATTTCCACATCCAGCCAGGTAGCCCTCCCCTCTCTCGACCTCTAACCAAGTAGCTCCTCCCCTATTTCCACCTCTAGCCAGGTAGTTCCTCCCTTCTCCCCCACCTCTAACCAAGTAGCTCCCCCCTATTTCCACCTCCAGCCAGGTAGCTCCTCCCCTCTTTAACCTCCAGCCAGGTAGCCCCTCCCCTCTTTAACCTCCAGCCAGGTACAGCCACATGTGTACATAAACTTGATCCAACACGTATCACTTCCTGGTTGGGGGTCAGGGACAGTGACGCTCTGACGATATATTCTGTGTTTTCAGAACGACCAGGTGTTCACATTCACACTGAATGTGATAGTGAGGGATGCTGCGGGCAGGTGGATCAGCACACCTGTGTCTGCAGTCTGTTCCTCTGGGATGTGGGCTCACAGAGAGATCACCTGTGAGGAGGACTACATGGAGGTCAGCAGCTTGTACACCATGTGACCTGATGCATTGTTTCAGTCACCTATGTGGGACTTAAGGCTGTTTGATGATGTCGAGCAGGTAAACGTGAACAGAGACTCGTCATGTGGAGGACTGCAGGGAGAAGG